ATAACTGAAAACAACATTCTGGATATCATATAATTATTTGGGTTTTTTTGTTAAATTCCTTATTTGTAAGAACAAAAATCAACAGGTCAGCTCTTCTACACTTCAGTAGTAACTTTAAACATTATAGCACCGTCTTATATAAAACCAAAACCAAAAAATGTAATTAAGACATTTACTGAATTACTACAATATGCTACATACACTCACCAGCCACTTCATTAGGGACACCCGTACAAACTGCTTATTAATGCAAATATCTGATCAGACAATCACATGGAGGAAGCTCAGTGCATTTAAGCATATCAACATGGTCAAGATGAGCTGCTGAAGTTCAAACTGAGCATCAGAATGAAAATTAAAGGGGATTTAAGTGACTTTGAATGTGGTATGGTTGTTTGTACCAGAAGGGTTGGTCGGAGTATTTTACAAACTAAATGGTAAATGGCCTGTATTTGTATAGCGCTTTACTTAGTACCTAAGGACCCCAAAGCGCTTTACACATTCAGTCATCCACCCGTTCACACACTGGTGATGACAGCTGCCCTGGGGTGCACTGACAGAGGCGAGGCTGCCGGACCCTGTCGCCACCGAGCCCTCTGACCACCACCGGTAGGCAACGGGTGAAGTGTCTTGCCCAAGGACACAACGACCGAGACTGTCCAAGCCAGGGCTCGAACCGGCAACTTTCCCGATTACAAGGCGAACTTCCAACTCTTGAGCCACGATCGCCGAGATTTTCCTGCACGACCATCTCTAGGGTTTACAGAGAATGGCCTGAAAAAGAGGAAATATCCTGAGGATGCCAGTTTTCTGGGTGATAATTCCTTGTTGATACTATACAATGGCTACACAGCCAAGGCACTTGGAAGAGCATCTTGAACCCTGTAACAGATGGGCTACAGCAGCAGAAGACCACACTAGGTGTTACTCCCATTTACAAAGAATGGGAAACTGGGCTGCCATTCACATATGCTCATCAAAATTGAACAACAGAAGATTGGAAGATGTGTCTTGGTGTATACAACATGAAGGCATGGATCCATGCTGCCTTGCATCAAGCTCAGGCTGATGATAGCTTGTCACACTTCGGGCACCTTAATGCCAACTGAGCATCATTTAAACGCCACAGCCTACCTGAGCATTGCTGCTAACCCAGCCCAGTAATGTGTAACTAATGAAGTGACCAGTGCATGTATAAGTGATACTTCAGGTATTATCAGATTGTAAATGTGGTTTGTTTTGTTTTGATATTTCATTTGAGAATTATCTCTGCTTGAAACAGGTTATTCATGGAAGAAAAAAGAGCTTGATGTGTAAGACATAAATAGAAATAGGGTCACAACCAGTAAACAAAGATGTTGGAAGTTGTAAGATATGCTTATATGCACATTCATTATTTCTCCACTGAAACTTTAAGAACAAAATCAAAGCAAGTAGCAACCTATTCTAGTCTATGCTGGTAAAATACGGAACTAACTTATCCCATGGTGGAGATCCGGAAAGTCAAAGTTACATGTTATTAAAAGACAAACAGTTTTTAAAAAAATAAGTTTGCTGCTCTTTGCCTATCCTACTAGCTTTAGCAAAGTGTTCTGCTTGTTACTTACTGCACACACACACATTTATAAAGCACAACCACAAAACCCTGAGATTTGTAGAAGTTGACTGACTTTGCGGATTAGCGTTTGGCACATCGCTAACACGAGGCTGTGTACGTCGAAAAGACGACGTTGTGTGGACGTTTGTTCACAACCATGACCTAACTATACTAGTTGCCAAAAAAAAAAGAAGACGAGCATAAAATAAATCTATATTTCTAACTTCACCAGAGACCGTCTAAGAGCTCAGCTCTACGCGGAAACAACGTCAAAGTCCGGGGATGGGTTCACATTTCTGCCGTCGTACCTCGCCCAGTTTTGACCGTATCACGTCGGCGTTTCAACTATCTTTGCGGAGTGTTTTAAAAGAAATTACACAAGATAAAAAAATGTCAAAGCTTACCTGCCCAAATGTAGCGTTGAGGTTTAAAACAAAATGCTGCTTTTTCACATTAGGCGTGTAGTTTCATTTCCCATTTCATCATCCATCAGTTAATGCGCAGTCTCCGAAGGAAATTTTTTTTGTTTTTTTTAAGAAAATTGTTTATTTATTTATTTTTGCATAACAACCCCTAATTTCTTTATATTTTACTTCTAAAGAGTAAAATACGAGTAACTCAAGCATAAAAAAGAAACCGAACTTCAGGGATAAACCAGTGCTGTGCCTACACATCCCTGGATTTAGTCTATTCGAGTATAGACAGGATGGGTGAAGTCATGCAGACAGATAAATCACAGGATGATTTTGGTTTAAAAAAAAAAAACATTTTAAAGCACGACTACATTTACATTGTAACTAATAGCATCAAAAATGATATGCAGAAGGGGAAGATTTCAGCACCTGCCAAAGTTGCCAGAGCCAAGTTGACCACCTTCATCTGCTTTATTTGGCAAAGATTTTATGCCGGATGCCTAGCACGGGTACAGTCAAATGAAAGAGGCATTCTTGTTGAACTGACCAACATAATTGTTTATAAGATGGTGTCACTGCAGATTCACACTTGAACTGACTAAAACAGTGATACAGCAAAAAAATCCTGTAGAAAATCACAAACTGAAATGATCAGACACTGCACACACTGTGCAAACTGTCAGCCTGACTGATCATCAAGTATTTTGAGATTGGTTGTTAATCTATAGGCTACAGACTTATGGTGCCAAAAACTAATTTCAGTTTTTTTTATTTATCCTAAAAAAGTAAAGAGTATCGTTGACAGTTCTACTGGCTGCTCTCTTACCTCGATGAGAAGCACTGCCCTCAAGCAACTTGAGCCTTGCTTCTGTCACATTTACCATATTTCTGTTCTCCACGACATCGTTGGATGCCTTTGCACAGTGCAAAGGTGCCCCCAAAGTTTTGCAATTCAGATATCAGATACTTTAGAAAGCAGTTTTAGATAGCAATTGTCATTTTTCACCATCAGGGGTGACTTTGAGGCATTTTGCCTTATTACTCCTACAACATTTTCTATCATTTGAGTTGCTGGCACCATTGTGCTTTTTCCTGAGATGACACCTTTTTACACCATTAATCAGGCTTACATGCAAGTTGACTCCATTAGTGTGGAGAGTCCTTACAAGGAGATAACAATGATCCAATAGCGCCTCTGACTTCACCTGAATCTGGGCCATTTCAAAATCAGTCCATATTCTCCCTTTCAATTTTCTTTTGATAGCCAGTAAATTAAACAGCCTCCTCTGGGAGTGAACCATCTTACTGTTGTTCTTCTTTCTGTGTACTGTACACCCATTTCCACCACCTCCCTGTCTCACTTTCTCATCTCATCTTCTGTCCATTACCAGCTCGGCCGAGCTGCAGCCAACTTCTGGAGAGTCTTGCAAATAATTTAATTTCTGGGGAATAATAGATGAGTTTAAAACCCTGTGGTCAACCTACCAAAGCAATGGACAATGCACAAAAGAAGTGAAGAAGTGAGAGCAACTAGGGTGGAGTGGATGGTGATGACTGTTGGGGTGATTTGTGACAGAAGGATAGCAGCAAGAGTGAAAGGTAACTATTGTTTGGAGACAATGGGATTTACAAAAAGACAGGAGGTGGAGCTGGAGGTAGCAGAGTAGAAGATATATGGCCACTTTGGGAGTGAACAGGGTTGACAAAATTAGACATGAGTATATCAGAGGGACAGCTCAAGTTGAGCGGTGTGGACAAAAGTTAGAGATGGTTGGGAAATGTGCAGAGGAGATATCTTTGCTATATTAGACAAAGGATCTTTAACATGGAGCTGCCAGGCAGGAGAAAAAGGAATACCAGAAAATTCATAGATGTGGTGAAAGGGATGCAAAAAGCTGATAGAGAGAGGAGTGTGCAAGGCATAGGGTAATATGGAAGCAGATGATCTGCTCCTAAAGGGAAGAGCTGAAACAAGAAGAATAAGGGCAAGAAGAAGATAGCTTCCGGTCACCTTTTCCTGGAAAAAGTTACTAAAACCAAGAAACACCTGCCTTTATTGCAGTATTAGTATTGCACACATAAAATCAGACTTTATTATCTTCTTAAGAAAGCTCCATAAACCTGTTTTACATATCTGATAACATCTGGAAATATATTCCCTTGTCCATTTCCCCTGTCTGGTCACTAGCTGGCCCCATTAGATGAAGGCATTGTGGAAAAAAAGAGCCCAAACAGTAAATTAGAGCTTTTATTGCATTCACATAAAGTGTGATCCTTAGTTTAAGTCACTGAGAGGGAAATTGTTTTCACATATTTTGATTTCACTGTTTAGAAACATGACAAAGAAGAATTAGTCTTGTGTGTTCTGCTAGAGTTAGAGCTCAACAAACTGGGGACTACATGTTACATGTAAGGAATGCATACAAATCTGTTAAAATGGATGTGTGCGCAGTCAGTTACCCATGAAATGCCCAAAACCTGCATGCAAAACTCTCTGGTATGAACACATGTACATTTTAAGCTGTTGCAAGCATGCTTTTATGGTGACGCAACTCTAAAAGTGCAATAGTTTACACATGTGCATGTGTATATCAGTGAATGCGCATCATAAGCCACGGGAAGTATCCAGTGCTCTTCATGGCAAAGGTACTGATGAACATATTGATGCCTGAGGTGATGAAGACTATAATGGTGGTTATGTTGTTCAGGTAGTCCAGACGCTTTTGTAGAGTGGAATTGTTCAGGTTCCGACGGCCTGTGTCGCACACACACACGCACACAAACACAATGGAGAAAAACAGGCATGAGACCAGATGATGACACATTTCTTTTGACCAAAATGTCTTATATATTTTTTTAATCTGCCAAAAGAATAGTATAGATGCAGGCCCAAAATAACAATGTTCAGTAAAAATACAATAAGCCAAGTATAGCTTTCTTTTTAATCACTCGTTTTATTTAGCTTTTTATTCACAAAGATATTTATCCATTTCATTTTTTTTTCTATTTTTACTGATGTCAAAGATGTTTTAAAATAAGATGTATATTTAAAAATCAAAACAAGCTTTACACTTTTACCGATTAGGCACATAAAAGAAGGGAAGAATACATGTAAAATGCACAGAAAAAGTAGAGACATCTACAATAAAAAAGTACAATATTTGCACAAGCATGTCATTGGAGCAAATAAAACCATGCATGTTTAAATGACAGCTGGTTAAAGTTAAAATATTTTAGTTCGATTACAGTGTGAGAAATTTGACAAGTGTCTGAATAGGAATTAAGATGCAATGTTTGAACACATGGGATTGTTTTCCAACTTTGTCTTAGGCCAATGTGTCATGCTACTGCACAGATGAAATACTGCTGCAAAGCATGTTGGTGGGTCTGCGCATGACTTGGATATATTTTCATAGTTTTGTGTGTCTCAAAAGTGGAGTCGAGCCAACAGCCAGCGGAAGAATCCGGTCCTCTTGGAGCCGAAGAAGCTGATGAAGAAGTTAATCACTGTGGTGGCGAAGATGATGCCTGTAGCAACGTTGTTCAGGTAGTCGAGTCGTTTCTGATTGGACACCACGTTAAGGTCCCTGCGGGCTGCAACATGCACACACATGCACACAGACAGACACACAAACGCACAATTTCAAACATTTCAAACACAACCACCACTCTCACAGTTAACCCACACGTGCAAACGTTCAGTAATCCAAACAACAGCAATATTGTTGGCTCATCCATCCTCTTTGTAGTCTATGTGAGTTTGACTGGTTCAGATTTCACTGTAAAACATAAAAACTGAACAGGATTAAACCAAAGTTTGGATTGATGAGCAAGCTCTGTGTTGTGCCCATTGGAGAAACTGGCACTGTGACGCTAGCTCAAAAAGTACACCAGTCCTGTAAGACTTCCTTGTTAAAATGCCCAATGTACATCCTGGTAACATAAATAACGTTTGGGCTCTACTGAGGTTTTGCAGTGACATAACAGCAAACCATGTGATGTCATTTGTTTCCATTTTGAAAGTGTGACAAGGTAGGGTCGAATGAATAAGCTCTCAGTCACATAGTCTTAGAGAGCAGTCCGTGACTATCAGGAAATTATCGATCACAGGAAAAATGTAAAAAAAAGAAAAAAGAAGACAGAACCAGCTAGCTAGCCAAACTTGCTCGCATTGGCTAGCATTTTAGTGCTCCACTTTCTCAACTTATTTTTGTCTAACAAATAAGTCACTTAGATTTTTTACGCCCACCTTTTATATATAGTCTGTGCAAGCAGCTTATTTTAATATATATACCATAAATCTGTGTGTTTTATAATGGTAAACAGCAAAGGATAGAGCTCAAAGACTGCGCAGGAGGGAAAAGTTAGCCCTGCTCCTTTGAAGAGAAGCTGCTCAGTGCTAGCAAGAAAGCTAATGAGTATATTTAAAAATCAACTGAACTTTACTGACATGACTGAGAGCTTGCTCCCACTTAGCTCTAAGACTGAATGTTGAAGCAATCTTTGGCTGTAAAGTGTGTATACCTTTTAAAAACATTCATTCATCCACAGCTACTGAACAAACAGCTATTATGCTACAGTAATAGCTGTTTGTTCAGTGGCTGTGGATGAATGAATGTTAAAGGGGACTACTTTGTGGCCAAATTTGGTGTGTGCAAAGTTCAACATTTCATCAGCAACATTAATCAAATGTTTAGATTTATGTACATACATTTGTCTGCTTAATCTGTCTCATAGAATAAAGCGCTGAAATAGCCATCGCAGAAAGCAGCTACGCTGTGTCCCAAAGGCCGATTTAATAATGTTGATAATGAAAGTGAGGCAGATGATGCCGGTAATTAGATTGTTCAAGAAGTTCAAGCACCGCTGACAAGAAGGGAGGCGGGTCAGCTCCAATCGAGCTGCACTCACACATACACACAAATGGAAAATGCATACATACATTGCACACACACAGATAACCAGAACACAACCATGCAGACAGAAAAAACAGAGACAGACACACACATCTAGTTGGTCCACTGGCCCAATCCATCCATACTGAATTAAACAATACAATAGTAATATAGTTGATTAGTTAGTGAGTTGGACAATATGTTACAATGGTATGTGTTATGATTGTGTGCTTGTGTGACCACAACATAGTTATGTGGGTCAGAATCTGTTCTTACTTTCTAAACAGATGTACATACTAGAACCATTGCCTACGTTACGCAGTCAGAAATGCATCCTGGCAAAGAGGCCAGTGCGTTCCATCCCGAAGACAGTGATGAAGATGTTGGTGACAAAGACGAGGAAGATGGTGATGGTTAGGGTGTTGTTCAGGCTGTCCAGGCGCTTCTGGTTGGCTTCTTCATTGAGGTCTCGCCGGGCTGCAATGCACATATACAAACACATACCAAAAATAGCAACAAAACGAGAGCATAAAGTGCAGGGAACCATCATGTTTCTGTAGTTCTTGCATATAAAATGCATTAGATGCCTTATGGATTTTATACCTAAAGCCACTACCTTTAAACCTGCACTAGCTGTATTTGACTACAAACAAGTGTCAGTGAATTAGTGTGTTAATATGATGTGTTAAAAACATGGAAGATGGATTTCTGAGTCAGAAGATGTCCAGCCTAAATCTATAATGCCTACCGATTATGATGATCAGGATTCCAGCCACTATCTGAAGAGCCAGGGAAAAGGAAATGAGCGTCAGAACAGCGGCGTAATACCTAGGAACGAAAAGGAAATGCAATGCAAAGAAAAGGATAGTGAATAGATAATATTTTTGGCAAACATAAATGCGATCATGGAGAAACAGCTCACAGGTAAACAGTTACGGTTTTGCCTTCTTCATATGTACATATATTGTACCTGTAGCCTGCACCCTGTTCAATGACTGTCTTCATGTGTGTAATGTTAGCCAGGAACAAGGCGATGTCCAGCATGCCCTCAGCTGCTGTTTTCTTAGTAGCATACAGGTTCATGTTCAGGCTGGAGGCTGAACCACCCTGCAATAGAGAGACACAGATTTCAAGTGGGTTATCTTACAATTTGTATCCACACACTTCTTTTCAAGTAAGTAGAAGTATAAGAGTGTAAGATACTGATGGCAAAATGCAGTCCCAAATATTCAGTCATTTGGTTACTAAATACCTAGCCATGCTTTTTACAAACTACATTTAAACTCATTCCATCCATTATAATGCAGCAGGGATCTTACCTTGTAATACAAAAAGCATTCAGATAACTGTTGTCATGAATTGGTGCTATTTAAACAACACTGAATTGGATTCCTTAAAATAATCTTTTTTTTTTTAAAGTTATGCTGATATTCTGCTTGATATGATCAATTATCAGAAATTATTAAAAATATAACTCAGTAGCGTTCAAACACTCATCTCACCCCCAAACAATTAATTATCAAATATAAAGAGCTAAGACAAATACTGTACTGAACATAATTTTCTTTAACAAGGAACTGGCCACAAGAGGGCAGCACAGACCAAGGATACGGTTACAGAATAATCTATTATATTATTTATCATATTCAATATTTGCAACCAAAGGAAAACCAGAGATATGATGAGTGGGAAAGTCGGTATATTGAGTTCATCTGATACTCCTCTATGCAATCTATTAACAGACAAATTAACTGTTTGAGAACTGCAAGAGAAGAAGTGCATTAGGCAGTTTGTGGCTCATGTTTCAGAAATTGAAATTGTGTGCATGTGTGTTGATGTACGGTTTTCTGTGCCTCTGTGTTACTGCAAATCTTCTTATCTGCCCAGGACAATGATTTGGTAGCGCAGCAGGAGATGAGTTTGACTAGAAAAGAAAGAATCGGCCTGGTTTCATGGTTTTGGCAATTTGGCAATAAAAACGGTGTGTGTGTGTGTCTGTGTGTGTGTCTGTGTTTACTTGAATAATCATTGTTATGAGGACCTATTTGAGATTTTAAACCATTAAGGCGAGGACAGATTGAGTGGTCTTTACTTTCATTTAAAGGACTATTCAGAGGTTTGGATTTGGTTTTAAGGTTCAGGTTACACTATTACACTATTTGGAGAGGGACGAATGTGCATTACCATCTTTATAAAGGTAGCAATAGTGAGCATGTGCAGCGAGAAGAGACAAGAAGAAATGAAAACATGAGGCATCATTACGTTACTGTATGACTCACAGCACATATAAAGGGCTAAAATTTTCTAGATCTAATTGTCCTGCTATAGAACACAGACTGCAGATGCACATATTGGATTACATAAGTCTATATACTAAAGTGCTCTGTTCGCAAATGGATGGCTGTGTGTATGCATGTGTACCATAAATCTGTTTTTCTTCAGCCTGCATAGAAAGAGAAATGCACTTAGGGAAGACATAGATCACATAAATGAAGTCAGTCATATTCACACTAAGGGCACATTGCACCTCATGACCTCACTGTGCTTTAATGTGCTTTGCTGCTCCAAAATAAACAGCGCTGACATTGTACATGTGCAGCAATTGTTAACACTTCAGCTCCTCTGTTTGCGCCATGTCTGTTTTAATAATCACCAACCAATTGCGACTGATATTGATTTCAACTTTTAAGCCATGTATATTCCATATACATGTGCATTAAGAAGGGTTATAGCAAGTATCTGACTTTATAGACAGACTCACAAGGCCTTTCATTAGGTTTAAATGGCCTTTAATGCAACCAGCAAGTTACATGGTAGTGACTTACAGAAAGGCAACAGTAACTCAAATAACCACTCGTTACAACCAAGGTATGCGGAAGAGCATCTCTGAACACTCACACCATGTTGAACCTTGAAGCAGACAGTAGACAAGACCGCCTAAACCAAGACCAAGACAATACCAAGACCAGAGGGTATCGAGACCAAGACAAAGTCAAGACGAGACGAAGACTGAGACAGAGACTTAAAAGTCTTTAAACTGCAGCCAGATGCTGCTTTGTTTACAGGTGTCAGGCATATTTATGTGTTTTTGCGATGCACTGGCACAGCCCTCCTCACCGCTGTCTACTGAGTCACTCACTTACTGAGAGGACAGACGCACGCTCCACTTGACTGTCGCGTCTCTCACCCTCTCTGTTTTTCACATAATGATATTATCCTATATCCTCGCATGTAATTGGCCACAATATGGAGGGATTGGAGCATAGCTGAGCCACTGTGTGAGAGCTGAGCAACGAAAGGAAATGAAGTGAGGAGCCGGCTTTTGCTCAATGGGAGTCGACTCCTCTGATTCACTGCAAAGCACTCTCTAAGCACGGCTCTTAGAGCTGATGCTTTTGCACATGACACATTATCGAACGTTACGTTGTGTGTCATGGATACTGTTGACTCCAAATCTCCCGACCACTATGTCGCTCTGAGACAGCAAGACCGAGACAGCAAGACCAAGACAAGACCAAGACCACGTAAAAGTGGTCTCGAGACAGAGGCCAACTCTATCAGATAGGCTACAGCAGCAGAAGACCACACAGAGTGAACTAAAAAAAAGGAAGCCGAGGCTACAGTGTGCAAGGACAATCCACCAAAACTGGGACAGCAGAAGATTTGAAAAATATTAAGTGGTTGGATGAGTGTCAGTTTCTGCTAATGTAAACAACATGCAAGCGCTGCTTGATCCTGGCTTGTATCATGTATGCTACCTGTAGTAGCAGCTGTGTGATAACATCACGTTAATATGGACCAAAACCTCTGAGCAATGTGTTGAACGAATGCTTTTAGGAAGCAGTTAGTCTTCAATGTGATGATCTTTTGTTGGTTTTATATATATAAACCATCTTCATCAGGCTCATCTCTTCCTCTCAGGATGATATTACTATTATAATCTATCACAGGCAAAAACTGTTGCACAGATCATGGTAAAGCATGACATGGCCACTGTCGAGCCACAAACCCAGTGCTATGCAATAATAAACACTGTGGTTTTGACACCCTCTAGTGGAAGTTATCTGTTATTGAATAAATGTGGCGTGTTTTGTTGCCATGCCACAAAATACATAATAAATCATGTGGAAATCATAACAAAAGCAAAATCTGTTCCTATTTTTATAAGTAATGGCAGAATTTAGGCTCGGGGGGGGGGGGGGGGTATGTCCTGCAGCATTGGACTTCAACCCAAGCGAAAGCTGTTAATAGCCTGTCCTTTTTAAAACATAATTCCATAAACGTAACCACTTGTTTATTATCTTAAACCCGACAATGAATCTGAACAAAGCAATCTTCTGAACTGAAAAGCTCTGCAAAAGCCAGCACACCCACACCACACAGGCCTTTGCCAGATGTGCTGCCGTGCAAAAGTAAGCAGGGCTCACATTGCTTACTCTCTCTTTCAACACACCTTTAAAATAAGTGAAGCTGGTTTCAGATTTGTCCGCTTTTGATGAGGTGGTCAGAACACAGAAATGTTTGGATGATCGTAAAAGCCTGGCAGCAGTCGCTATCACGCTGTTTTGCCAGTTTGCTGGCTCCGTGAACATATGGAAACGCTCCAGAAGTTGTAGAGTAGGTGCACTCTGAAGGATGTAAACACAACGTTCTTAAAGGTCACATGTTTAGGTGTCTTCCTTGCATTCTGACCACAGCTGCTGCTAGCGTAGCCATTGTGTTTACATCCTCTTCCTTTCCTTTCACTCCACAAGTTCTGGCCGTGTTCCTTCTGCATGGAGACGGCGATTTGCAAGGTGCGCTTTGACAGCAAATAGCTTTCACTGATCATATGAGGTCTGTGGCTTCTCATAACTGTGCTGCTGCAGTTTCTCGAGCAAGCTGTTGATGCTGACATTTCGGTTCGAGCGCCGCAAACCAAAACAAACTGTCCTTTCACCAATGAGGAAAAAGTAGCTCTGTTTTTACTCGGTATTTTTGAATATACTTTATATTGCACTTTATCCAGATGTTTACCAATCCCAGGATATAAAGTCTTGAAATGTTTCTGTGGTTGGCAGTTTATCTGTCATAATGTTGTGATTTTCATCAAAATAGTGCCTGTGGTGTACTTTAGTGCTCAAAGCTTGATTTCATCCTCTGGTACATTTTCTTACAGACTGCGTAGATCTCTGAGAAACTACTCGGCAATTCCCAGAACTGTAAGACTGTCAAAACACCATGAGCACATGTACCACAGCTTTACTTTGTTTAAGTGTGTGTGTAAGAGAGAGAGAGAGAGAGAGAGAAACTTGGTAAGAGATAGGAGAGAGAGCACAGAAAGAGAGAGAAGCACAGGGTGGGTAGTGAGGAAGTGAGAAAAAATATGCAGCATTGGAAAGAGCGAGATGGGAAAAAAATATGCCTGTACACTGGCATTTTTCCATTTTTTTCTTCTTTGGGGACTCGTGGTCGCACTTTATCAACATCAGCCTTGGGAGTGCTGCCAAAACACACACACCCACACACACACAAACACACACACACACACCACAACCAAAACATTGGAGTGGCATATACAGATTTACTTACCATGTGTGTTCATTTAGTGTAATGTTTCTCTAAATGTACTGACTGCACTTTTATCATTCTTAATCTGCATTTATCTTTATTTATTAACACTGAACGATAGACAGTTCTTTTAACTTTTGTTTCACACACAGAGAGAAGTCCTTATTTGCAGCAGGGTTTAGGAGAAGCAGTTCGATGAGGTTAGGACAGTAGGCTGTAAAGCTGATCTGAGACAAGCTTCATCATGAAGAACCAAGATTTTTTTCTTTTTTTCATGCAGAATTATTGAAATACTACTAAAACACCATTACACCGCCACTACCAGCTTGAACTATTGATACTAGGCAGGATCAAGCTTGTATTTTGGTTACACTAACAGAAACTGAGGCTCATCAGACGAGTCCGTTTATTCCAGTCTTCTGTTGTCCAGTTTGGGTGGTTTGTCTATACCAGTGGTGTCCAAACCCAGGCCTTGAGAGTCCTGCAGGTTTTAGATGTGTCCTTGATCCATCACAGCTGATTTAAATGGCTGCATGACCGCCTCAACATGTCTTGAA